ATGTAGATGTATTTTATACTATAAAATAACATTATCATATTTATACTCTATGTTATAACAACTAAACAGTGTGCATTGTTAATAGCTCCTATGTTATTGCAGTGTTATGATGTTAGTAATATAGTACGTTGTCTTTGTGTGTGTAGAGCATAGTTTTGCAGGGTTATATGCTATGTATATGCATAAAATTCAAGCATGGCCAGGTCAAAATATTTTTATATGGTAAAGTCAAAAGCTGACTTTTGATGTGTCGTTTGGATAAGCTTGGTGGTTCTGCTTCAAGGCAGAACTCTTTTTCAGTGTTTTTATACTGTTCCTCAGCACTATGTAAAGTTAACATAGCTCCATCGCTGCTGGGATATGAGCTAGTTCTAAGCAATCTAGTTGGGCTGTCTGTGTAATATGCTTAATTCAAGGTTGTAGAATTACCCTTGGAGCCCGTTTCAAGATAGGTATTTACATCTGAGTCTCCCTAATCCTAGATTACTGCCCTGCTCTAATCTCTATTTTCAGGTTTCTCTCTCTTCCTCCCTTTTATTCTTGCCGTATTTTTGAGAGGTCTTGGTTTGTACTTAGGGTGATTGGGCAAAAATCTGAAATCTTAATAACTCCTAAATGTGAGAAACATTTTCTATTAAACACATTACATATTTCATACAGATTTCTTATGTACTCAGGAGGTCTGCATGTGCTCTGCACATTACTATGTTAAGTAGAAAGCACCTGGAATTTTGCACTGCTCCTTACTGAAAAACATAGCTTTCCTTTTTTTTTCCATAGCTTTTCTGCAAAAGAAAGAAAAATGAAATTCCTCTGGTATTCTTCACATCATCCTTGAAACACAAAGAAGTTTTCTCTTGGCCCCCCTATGGAAAAGTCCATCAGTCACGCTGACAGACTGTTTCACTTAAAATTATAAAATTATTAAAACAGAAAACAGTTCAGCTCTCAGAAGCTTGGTTAAAAAATCCTTAATATGGAATTTTCTTTCTCCGCCACATTCAGACAACTCTGTTCAATATGAAAGTAATTTTCACTGACAGTTAATATGAGATACACATTAAAAGTCTAATCTTACAAAAAGTACATATAGGTAGTTTGATAATTTTATAAAATATGAACTCAACAGAGAATGGCTTCTTAGGAGCAAATGTTTGAGGCACATGTTCAAAGCTCCATGCTGGGTTGAGTATACGCACTCTAAGCAGCACAGGCAGTTATTTTGTTCAGGGATGAAATGGCACTGGGATCTTTAGATTGTCAGGATTTTTCTACTATAGACAGCCTTAAACAGAACCAAGGGGCAGAAAATCACAGATTAGTGCTGACTTACTTGTCAGCAATATCAATGGTTTCTTTTTTTTACATTTATATTGAGGGGAAGTAGAGAGCAAAGAGAGCAAGACCTTCATCTGCATAGACAACTGAGCCCTTTCAGGTGGAAACTCTCTTACTTTGCCTGTGTGACGCTTAGCATGGCACTGTTCCCTTGCTCCCTTTAAATTAGCACTGTAAACATAGTTATTAATACTTAATACTTCTCTCCATTAAAGACTTGCCCTCACTTTTGGATGATTATCATCAGGGAAGCTGATTGTAAGGACTTTGCTGTCACTTTATAAGACTACACATTGGTCCACTAAAGATGTCCCTACACTTCCACTGGAAATGTGAGTTTGGGTTTATAAAAAGGAAAGGGGAATGGCAGGACTGGTGCTCCTTTAAGAACAAGTGCTTCTGTGTGCGACAGGGCTTTGCAAACCATCTTGGAGCTCAAAATGGCAATGAAATAAGGGGTGAAGGAATGAGATTTACTAATGTGGGTTGGCTGGGCAGGATTCCCTTGCCGTGGGGAATGTCTGGAGGGTGCAGGATTAGATAGAGAGGGCAGCAGTAGCTGCTGGGTCTTCAGAGGAGGTTTCTTCATCCCCTATGCCGAGGTTCAGTGAGTCTGCCTCTAGGTTAAAGCGTAGGTGGGTCTGCTCAGAGGCAGTGCTTTGAAGAAGCTGTAGGTGTAGCATGTCTGTCATTAATCAGGCTGGAAATCACTGCCAGAACCATGGAAAATGAAATGAACTGTGAGGTGGTGGGCGAAAGAGCATTCATTTTTCACGACTTCTTATCAGATGAAAAAACACCTTTTTATGTTATCTTTTCCCCTCCCCATCTTTTTGTTTCTTAAATCGATTCATTAGATATTAAAATCTGTCATAAATGGTGACTACGATGCACAAAAATATAAAGTAGATCTATGTGCCTAGGGAACATATGAAACACCGAAAAAGTAAGGGCTTAAACAGACAAAACGCACAATGACATTTGGAATAACTGATAATGTTGGTCACAAAATACCCATAAATTATCAGCTATTAAGAATTTATTGATTATTAAATGCTACTTAGCTCTACATCTATTTTGATCATGTGAGAACTATCCCTGATTTTCTGGAACAGTAAATTTAGCGACTTTCTGTGTTTTCTTTCTTCAAACATATTTAGAGCCCTGCTGTTCTGTGAAGTATTGCTACTGGAGGTCTGGAAACTTGTAAGATTACTCTTAAAGGCAAAAAAGCCATAAATGGCCATATTTCACATGTAATTTGTTTCTTTTTATATGTATACAGCAGTGTTGGAACACACTGATCAAACCATATAAAAAGAAGCATAATAATAAATATTTTTAGATTTTCTCTGTTCTATACAAACGTCCAATTCCAAGATAACAGATGTGTTGCAAGAATTAACATTGAAAAGACTTATACAGAAGGAAAACATTTTTCATGCTAACTAACCCATTTCTACAAAAAGAAAAAAGAAAGAAAAAAAAACACTTCTGATTCATAGCAGCTTGCCTGATGAAAGAATAAAGGTATCAAGAACTTAATTCTAATGACTATGGTGACCCATGAAGGAAAGAAAGCTGAGAAGCTTCACCAAATGGTACCTCTTGATCATTCTTCCTTCAGTAACAGAAAATAAAAGCACTTTTTTTTTTTTTTTTTTCACAGCTCTAAGTCAACAAAGTAGCTTTTTATCTTTCTTTGCTCCTGAGTCAAGATGCAGGTGCCCATTCCCTGATGCCTGTCTCTCTGAACGAAGTCTAACCAGGAAGACTCACATCCCTTCCTTTCCATGCAGATGAGTTAATTATTCTCATGTACTACCTATGGACTTCACAATTTACATTTTGCATGCTGGGCGCACGTTCGAGATCTGCTCCCTCTGTCTCCTGACAGACAGTGCCAGTTTTCAGCACTTGGAGATAATTGACAGTGCAACCAGCATCACCTTAAAATTTTTGAAGCCAAGTTCCAGCTTTAAAAACACAGCTACATCTTCCACTAAAATTTATGAACAGGTTGTGTATGCATGTCTAAAAGCACCACTTAGTCCTTAATAAATTTTCATCCTTTAGCATGCAATAACCATTCAGCAGAAATTTACAGAAAACACATCACATCAAGATTTTCAACCTCCCAGTGAACATGCTGCGTAATATAAACTATCGGCTGTTTACAAGAACAGAGCTGCTCGTCAGTTATAGTATGTCAGGTATTAATGTGGAGAATAACATGGAAGAAAAATAGTAACCATTATTTCTCCTTGCTTTCCTTTCAAATATGAAAGCCTTGCAAACACGCACTTATTCAAACACTCATTTCAAGTTAGTCATCATAGCGCTTCACTCGCCAGCTCTTTATATGCTGTGAACCTCCAGTGTCTGTGCAGTTGTTTCTAAGGTAACAGATTGGGATGCCTTGTGAAAAAAAAAAAAAATCAGATCTTGAATATTCAAAACATCTCAAGTTTCAGAAATGAGAAAAGGGCACTATCATCTCAACTGAGGGGTCTCACTACCTGCTAGACCCCGGCTTGATTTATAGTCAAGAAATAATAAAAGGCATGCTAAGGCTACAGTCAGGATAATAGTGGCATATACAGTTTCAGGAGCGCAGACAGTCAGAAATTTTTAATCAAAACTATAATTAAGGAATAACAGTGTCTCATTGCCTCCTGGCAGGGTACATGCAGAATACAGATGAAGAAGATGTTTGTGGGATTGTCCCTTTGCTCCAAACACTGACAGCCACACAGAAACCTGCCTGACAGACGTGTGATGCACAAACAAAGGAATGTATTAAAAATGAATGGGAATCAGCATGTGTAAATAAATGCAGATGCTTCTTCCTTAAGGGACCATACATGTATTATTTCCATTAAGAGAAATACACTGATGTGTTTCACAGCTGATTAACTGAATCAATCATTTTCAGCAGATGGGATTATTGTTTTTTAATATGTCTGTCAATGACTACTTTTGTTTCTTTTAAATGCTAATTTGTCTATTATCTTAGCCCAGGAAATATGTAAACACATGAAGGCCAGCAAAATGCATAGTGTGAATGTCAAGTTTGCAAACCAAAATGCTATGTAGAGTTTTCAGATAACTTCTATTATTACAAAAAAAAAAAAAAAAACTCTAAAAAAATTCTTAAGATCTGACATATATATTTACAGATGGTAAGCATTTTAGAACATGCACAAACACATCCATCATCTATGATAAAATGCTCATAAGAGACTTTTTAATTGTCTATCAAACTAAGATCTCAAAAAAGAAAAGAATTCGCAGTAAAGGATTAGTTTTGAATTAGATTTGTTAAAAAAGAAACTTCTAAGTTGCATTGTCTTCCACATTTTGTAAGGAAAAACTGAGACACAGAGTGGCCCCAAAGCTTGGGTATCAGCTAAAAGTCCAGGTCATTGTGCTTACTGATACTCCATTTTCCTGCCTCCGAATCCTGTGTCTGAATCCTGAATCTACTGCATTACAAATTATTGCAGACTACAAAAATGCATGGAATAAAAAATGCTTTGATGATTTACATAGCTTGCTCAGGAACATCCTTCTGTGCTTGCTCTGCATGAGAAAAACATTAACAGTTTATGGGACTTGTATCATTTAACAAACTGAAAGGTGGATACAGTGCTTAGTCTTACGTTCTTGGAAAGACGTGAAGAGCATCTGGAATCGGCTGCTTCGACTACCTTCATCTGCCCACATGCGGATCACGCCGAGACCTGTCCGCAGCATCACGTCATTAGCAACAGTGCTGCAAAACTTCGCTTTCAAATCCTCCACTGAGCTACTTCCGTCATAGACAGCCACAAAATTCCTTTTGCATTCATTGGAATTTTGCATCTCGTAGTCCAAGAATCGTAAATATATCTATGAAACAAACAGGCAAAAGACATTTGAGAATGACTAAATAAACCTCAAGCAGTATGGCTCTGTCTTATGGGAGAGGGAGTATTCTGTGACCCTATCCAAATATTTGGCTCTAGCTGATGATCCACAGTCCAATGACAGGCATTAATTCAGAAAGTGAGCATTGTTCATACATTCTCATATTTTCTCTCATTTCAAAGCTCAATACAGTAGAATATCTAGACATTTTTTCACTCTTTGCAATAAGGTCCTAATTTCCAGACATATACCCATCATAACAAGCATGCAAACAGTCCTTCCAGCTGAAGGGTAGAAAAGCTAAAAATTTCTTCTTTGGCTTCTTCTTTGGAAAATAATACAGCATATAATTGCTGCCAACTCCGCAGAGTCAATATGTGACATTTTTGCATTATATTTTAGCCACCCTGATTCAGGAAGTGAGAATCCGCAGGCCAGGCAAAACTCAGTCGTTCATCTTTTTATATTTCTCAAGCAATTTGGCCATCATCTCTGCTTTTCTAAACAAAACCCTTATGGCATGTCTTCACAGCTTAACAGGAATGAAATGGAAACTGCTAGACACCTAGAAAGTTCCTTAGAAAATGACACTTGCATGGATACTAAGTTTCCTAGTCAAGGCATTCGATGTCTGGCCCCTTGCAAAGAACAGCTTAAGCACACCCAAAAAAAGAGGATAAAAAGCTATGACTTGCTACTTAACTCTATACAGACCTTATTAAGGAAACATTCATTTTCAAAGCAACATCAACTATTCTAGAAACAGAGAAAGTAAGTGGCACTTTCAGAAGACACACAGTACATAACCAAACTGCTAAGCATACCCAAGAGACTTCAGGGGAATAATACAGAAAGCCAAAGTAGGGCAGAAATAACATTAAAAAGCCAGTGAACACACACAGCATCCAGCTGCATGCATCTTTACTTGAAACAATAAGCATAAAGAAACTCCCGCTGTATTAGACATCAGATATACTTCTGTGCAAACAATCTTATTAACTTCAAATAGTTCTTTACACACAGAGAACAATTGCTTAAAGGATTTTTCTAGAATAAAGTACTCAAACACAACACATCCTAGCAGCATAGAGGACAGAGAACTTCACCTCACTGATATATTAAAATGCTTATGGTTTGAGAATTGTGGTATTATTAAGCAGTTTGATTAGAAATACCTTAGATTTTTAAATGAGCTTTTTTAAGATATTGCAATATAGTACATTTTCATTTCTTGCTATGCTGTGCAACTAGTCTCTCTGAGGAGAATATTTGTAAGAGAACTTTTACTCATAAAGAAATGTGGTGCATTAGGTTTAATTTTGCTTTCCTGACCTTTTTCATATATGATATTTATTACAGCATATTTTACTTATTAGGCATGTTATTTTCATAGTCATTTTGATCCCCAGTTCCAAACACATTTCAAGCATTATTAATGGGGCTTTTTAGCATGTTTGCATGTAAATTTATCTTTCTTAAATTATTTCTTAAATACCACTTGCTCTACCCATGATGTAGAGAACACAGGACAAAACTGGTAGAGTAACTATGTCAATATTGATAACTCTTCCTAGCTTATTATCATCAGCTGCATTTCTATCACAGTGTTCCCATCCCAAAGAAGAACCAGAAGGGATATGTTTCAGTCATATTGTTGCTAAATTAATTCTGCTGTCACCATCTGCTTTAAAAATGCTATAATATATACTTATTTACAATATACAAGAAAATGAGTTGTTCTGATCTCTAAAAATGGAATATTTCACATTAGTACACAAAGGAAATTTAAGATCACTAGATTTTATATCATGGAATAGTTTTTATAGTTTTTTTTTTTTTTTTTTTTCATATACCACTTGCTCTACCCATGATGTAGAGTGAAAAAATACCAGAGTTATCTAGTATCTTTAACTGAAATTTTCTCTCAGAATCCACTATTTTTTTAAACACGTATTGTCTTGACAGTCACTTCCTCTTCAATTCAGGCACATGTAACTTACACTTCTGCCAAAATAGAGCATCTACATCTTTGGAAAAGTCACATTTAGAATCTTCTCTGAACTCTGAATCTCTACTAAATGCAGAAAAACATATTTCTAACATTCTCTTGAACTGCCTGTATTCCATTAGAAGTGTTTCTTTCATTCGCTGACCCTTGTTTCTCTGGCCAGTCTCTGATCCTTACCAGGTGCTCAAACATCTCATCTTATCTTCTTCTTGTGCCCCAAATCCTTGTTCTCATTGTTGTCTTGCTACTCAGAGCATTTCTGCCTTCCTGATGCCTCACTATGGCCCCTCAGGTAATCCTGGCTTTCAACACAGCTCCTGCTCTTTCCCATTTATATGGCATCAGTCTCTTCCATAGCCATCAGGAGGTCAGCTGAGCTCTGCTTCTAATTACTTCCTTGAAACTGTTAGGTCTCCTATAGGAAGTACATGAAAAATTAGAGAAGCAGACCCCCCCCCCAAAAAAAAAAGAGGGAAAAGCAAAAGGCTAGTGAGGGAGCTGCAGACAAGAATTTCATATCAGTGAGAGTCTGAAATGGTCTCAAATGTAGCCATGCAGAATTGGGCAATCAGAGATGGACTCCAACCCCTCGCTCCCACATGTTTTGATGATGTCTCCTCGTGCCAGAGGTGCCTAGGTTACAGCTAGTGCAGGCAGGCCATCATTCTGCCGCAGCAAGATTTTGAGGGAGGGAGGGATATGTGGTAAGAGGCAGAGCCAAGATATTCATGCCCAGAAACTGACCATATGTGCGACACTCTGGAGAGCTGTTTCCCCTGCCCTAGGGATCCCTCATGCCCTAAAGAAGATTATAACAGATTTGTGAAACCCCCACTCACAGTCTCCTTTGTGAAGCTTCCTGCAAAAGTCCATCTCTGCATAATGTTTCACTTAAAAGAGGGAGTTAAATGTGCATATTACTTTTCTTTCCTCCACTAGCAGAAATAACTTGCCATAGATGGGCACTTCAGTGTTTCCCCACTTTGCAATAGAAATCTTCTGCAGGTGATTACATGCCATATACACATAACTTTTTCAAGAAAAAAAGAAAGTCTACACAATTAACCTTAGAGCAACATACCTTATAGGAAAGCTACAAATCCTATAGGAAAGCACATAAGGCTTCCAACATATCGTTGTCATGAATAACTACATTTAAGCCATGTATGTCTGCCATATGTATGTCATTTTTTTAATACATAAGCTATACTATATATTTATTATACCATATTTATTCCTAATTTTTATCTTATTCCACTATTCATGAAAACTCTCCTCTACTTCGGAAAAAGATACCTTCGGCCAACTGCACTAAACAGCAAAACTATCATTCACCACTAAAAAGGAAGAAGGTCTGATATTTGCTCACCAATTCTTTCTTATTTTCTTATATATAAAAAATGTATATGTGTGTGTATGCATATATATAAACATAAATATTAGCACACTGTATTCCCTCTCAGCAAGAAACATGAGCTAATTCTTACTATGACTATAAAATACCAGCTCTCATAGCAATCTCCAATATTCATCAGTTATTCCTGCTCTGTTAAATATAACACATCACCATAAATTTATTTGTAAAAGCTAGTCATTTCACATTCTCGAGTTTCTTGTGGCACACTAGCCTAACAAAAAAGTAAAATATTTCTTGGAGTAAGCAGTTATATATGCTAAGAAGGAATGAAGAGGATAATAACTTAGTGTTTCACTTTTATTCTTTCAGCTGAGAAGTCAGTACTTTAACTTCTCCCCAGCTCTGAAATCTGCTGTCAGTCACACCAATTCACCTCTCTATGTGTGCTAAGTTCAACTAAGATCAAAAATTGCTACAGGAAATAATACAGATTTGATAAGTTCCAGGACTATCAGAAAGAAATATTTGGCTTCAAAATCTATGTCAATCCTTTGGAAGGAAGATGGAAGCTTCTCCATTGTCATGAAGTTTCGTAAATTAGATATAACAAATTCCTGATATTGTGAGGTGACCCAGAATTTCATTCTCATAATCTCCCTTGGAGCTGACTATGCCCAGAACTTTATATAAAGTAATGAAGACTTGATCCAAAGCTCACTGAAATAAATGGGTAACTTTCCATTAACTTAAGTTGATTTGGATCAGACCCATGGATTACAACTAGAGTGATTTAGCACATTTTAAAAAAATGGATACAGATTACACAAACTGACAACCTGATATAGAATCAGATTTTGTTTTAAAGAGCTGAAAGTAATTTAATTGCATCTGCATGCCTCTGCCAATTTTTATGGTTTTATTACACTTGCCAGTTTTTATAGTTTTATTACACTGCTTTTGCCATTGTTCCTGTCATTGAGTGTAAGACTCACACTAGCAGAGAAAAATGACTAATAAATTGAGTTCCCTATTGAAAAAAATAAAACTGATTATATGACAAACATTTAGCTAGTGACAAAGTTATCCAATGCACAATGTTCCTGACACATGATTTTCTGAAATCAGTGGCAATATTCTGATTACTTTTACTAGTGTAAGGATTGTGCCAAAAGAAATTAAGTAGAAAGCCTGAGAAAAAAATTCAGTATTTCCAACAACTTAATTTAGTTTGATTATAGTCATTACTCTACCAGGAATAGATAAGAAATTTTGGTCCCCAACAAACAACAACAAATAATAATAATAATAACAAAAGATTATTTAAGGTCAGTGGCCACCTCCTTCACTAACCTAAGAATTTTGCCATTGATTCCAATGGAAGTGCTGGGAGTAATCATATTTCTGTGGGGTCTGGCACATTATACTATGAGCCTAATCACAACTGGCTCAGAGAGCATCTTACTTGAAAGTAGAAGCACAACTGCTGCATCTTTGTTCAGATTCCTGTTGTAAAGGTTTAAGAACCTTTCTCCAAACCATCAGTTCAACATTACCTTGAGAAAAAGAACAGACTGCTGATGCAGGTATCAGCTTGTACTCAGATTTGAGAGGTAACCA